AATAATATATAATTTAGGATGTATTTATAAAATAATAATAAATTAAAGAGAAAAAAGTGGATCCCATTGAGTTATGTTTTTATTATATTAATTTCATAAGTAAAAGAATTAACACTGGCAGGCGTAGGATTTGAGGTCACCGTTACACTAGTTACGCAAGCTGATGGAATTTGCAGTGACTTCATCCACCTCGGTAAACATCCGACCTAATAAATTAATTAATCCTTTATTACATTCATTATAATAGACGGCATTCGTTTACCAACTTTACTTAGAATGGGCCTATATGTTGTCTTCTTGTATAATATTTGGTTTTTTGGATTATTAGATAAACAAATCACTTGCATCTCTCCCTGAATAGATTTTTACTGCCCGGTGCAGCTTGGTCCTGATTAGTTCGGTTTACAATGCACCATGCAGACTGAATGGATACCCTTACTATCCTGGTGTAACAAGGGAAAGTTTATCCCACGTTAAATTAGAATGAAAAAGTGAATTGGTATATTTAGGTTGGTTTGGGTGTTACTTAATAGTTTTTTTTTTTTTTTTTGGTAAATGGGTAAATGTGTACGTATTACAGTTAATATTAGAGTTAGACCCAATATTTGATTTAGTGTCAGGTCAAGCGCCTAATCCGGAGGTCGTCCGGGTCTGCACACCAGGTAGGCAAGGTGGTTCGAGTAGCAACAAGAGTGTTGCAAGTTCGGGTGAAGGAATATGTAATAAGGGACAGCTTGTCTCATCAAATCCGAATAAAAAAGTAAATGAAAAGTCCACTTAATAACTTAAACTTTTTAATAAATGAACAAACTTCCACGGGTTACACTTGCCATTTGTTTTTCATCAACTTTAATCAAAATTTAAAGTCATGTGCTGAGGCAGTGCTTAGCGTGTGCCGTTCCGGAATCCTACGCGATTGGACTTAGTCAACCATAGTGGGATATTAGTGAAAATCAAAGTGCTTCATAGCCGGTCGTCATATCACAGGTCGTTTTAGTAATACACGAAGTTTTGCATTATCAACAGAACAAACGCAGGGGTAAAACAGCGCATATGGTTCTCAAGGTGGGCAAGTAAGGCATATGATCGGGATTGAATGGTCTTTCTTGGTGGTTATCCTTCCGAAGATGGATTTGAACCCTCACTTGATTCATTTTATTTTTGAATGAATCCATAAGGACGACCTTTTTAGCCCGAAAGAAGCATGAAAATGAATTCGCTGTGACTCCTAATCTAATTATCATGAAGAGTTTGCTTTTGCCTTGAAGCTGCTAACAAAGTTTTGCCTTTTCTTACCGACCAAAAAAAAAAAAAGAAGTTTTGCTGCCTCGTTATGAAACAAAGTTCGTGTGAAGTTACTTGGACTAAGTTTGATTGATACATTGAGATGGAATGTAATTGGAAATAAAACGTGAATGGTGCACAAATGAAATAGTGATTCTGATTTCATTGGTTGGTTGTAATCATGTAACAATATAGAAATGACATACAGAGTAATAATTTATATTTTTCTATTTGGTCAAATAATTTTAAAAGTCATAATGAAATTAATTTTTTCAGTTCCCTTGTTGAATTAAATTTAATAAATAGTTAGAAATTACCAAATAAAAGAAAAGAATCATCTGAACTCAAATTGGATACACACTTCAAATTAAAGATCAAGCACAGCACGTACAACAACATTAATTGAAAATAGACCAAAATGAAAAAGAAACATAACATAGGCCTTGATCTAGAATTGATCACTCAGACTCAGAGGGAGCTCTTTAACATGCCCTTTACGGCAGATCTTAAGAGCTCGTGACCTTCTTTCACCTGCATCAATCCTTCACGCAACTTCTTTTCTCCATTGCCAGCCTTGTTAAAAAAATCTTCAAACTGAGGATTTGAAAACCTGAAGAGGGACAGGACATTTGCTGAATCAGCTATCTCAAGGCAATGTTCCATATCAAGATCATTTTTCGAGAGTTCTTCTAGAAGTGTCCGAAGACTGGGTTCCATAGTCTTCTTAAAATCATTCAAAATTCTCCTCATTGTAGGCCACTTGGAGAATCTTTGCCCTTCCTGATTATTTCTCTGATCTGTATAAAGAAGGGCAAAAAGATCAATATTCTTCGGAAGTTGCACTAAGAACTCATTTGCTAGAAAAGATCCTTTTGATAATACATATATATATATATATATATATCATGTGTGCATGTCATATATGTATATATTTAAGTGATCCACATACAAAGATGAATTTTGTTTAAGATCGATCATGATCTATGAACTACAAATTGGTATTGCTGGCTGAATTAATGCTTGGTGATATGTAGATTAAACTACAAATTACCTGGAGCTTTGCCATTGTTTGGAAAAGGTTTGAGAGCCTTCTCGTTTGGAGTAGTAGCGAGTCGAGATCTAGGGTTTTGAAGACCTGCCTCCACTCCTTGGGGTGGAGTGTTAGTAAGGATGACGCCGGCGTCACTAGTTTTTCGTTTCTTACTTACGGGACTGCCGGGTTCATGAATAAGGTCATAGGCATAGTCGTCGCTAGATTTCAGAAGGTATTTTTTCCCATCCATCAGGACTTCCTAATTCACCACTCACATTTTCTAAACTCGCTATATGTATATATAGCTCGATACTCATCCAACATGCTAGATGTTAATAAATGAATAAATATCTGCAATTTTTTAAAGTGAGCAACTAAGGACATTTAAAGAGTAAAATGCATTTAAGACGAAGACGAAAAAAAAAAAATAAAAACTCTCCCCCTCAAAATCAAAAATGATATTTTGAAATTTTATAATAATAATAACAAAAATATGTCAAAATTTGATTGTCAAGAAATATTTCGAAAACAATTTGGACAACAAAATTTTCAAATATTGAAGGGTTGTTTATATAAATATACTCATACTTAACATGTAACATGAGGAGTATTTTGTGCATAATTTTTATATAAAGAGAGTTTCTTGCACTTTACCATTGTATATAAATCGGTGGCATGATAGAAAGAAAGAAAAGAAGTGATAAATTTCTGATTTATATATAAATTGGTGGCACGCTAGTCTTCTCATCATTATTTATCTTGGAAGTCACACTCGCACACATCAGATAGCTATAGATGTCAGGAGACTCAGAACAATACTTCCATCCTGCGGGGGGCGGATGAACTTCATCCTCCCTGCATACGTGGCAACATATTATTGTGCCACGTATCCAATACTAAAACAAATATGAAGATGGGTCATGCCCATTTTTGCGGTTTAAACCCGCTCTTCTCTTTCTCTCTAAATGTAAAAGACTCCATTCTCATTCTCAGCCTCTGCCTTTCCACCACTCCTCCCACCACCATCAACGCCATCATCCTCAACGACGTCGCATCGGCACACTCTGCCAGAGAGATCGGCCACAGGTCCTACGGCGAGACCATCCGCTAGAAAAGTAAAGGTACGATATAAAATTTGAAACCCTTTTTGAACCCTAAAATCAATTGGTTTTTACTTGAAACACAAAATTTGAACAACTCATCTGATGCGTACCTCCCAAACTACAACCACTGTCAAGAGAGAGACCAATAAAACAAAAACCAACTAAGAAATCGCAAATACCCACCCCACCACAAAATCTGCTTTCCTTTTTATGGTCTGAATAAGACTGGAAAATTGACAATAGGCATTAAAAGAAAATCATAAAATTAAAAAATTTACAGGCCCGTGAAAGCAAAACAACAAACTACATAAAAAAATAAAAAAATTTACAGACCCGTGAAAGCAAACCATGGTCTCTGTCTTTATATGCCCGGTTCAAGGTCCATGAGGACGGCGCGTGGGAAGAGCCTCTCACAACTGGCCTCGTTGTAGTACACATTGACTTGCCTTGGTGGTGGGAGAAGGAGTGGAAAGGCGGATACATTAAGGCTTCTTTTGGATTGAGAAATTTAGAGGGATTTGGAGAAAAAAAAAAACAGGGAAGGATAGAGATGAGTGTGTTTGGATGGAAGGAATAGGAAAAAAAAGAAATGATTTGGAGAGATTTGGAGGGATAACAATCCCTCATTTGGAATCCCTCCAAAATTGACAAGATTTGAAAAAAAATAGAGCAAATTACAGAAGGGGCAAGGAGTTGAGAGACAGTCGACTGAAACTTTGTGAACAGCGACCAAACTAGAACAACAGGTGATAGAAATTGATTGATATGGGTTTTGATTTTTTTAACAATCTGAAATGATATGCGGATATAGGTTTTGATATACAGTTGCAGCGAGAGAGAGGGAGACTGAGAAGGAGATGGAGGCTATTGGGCAGGCTAATATATATATATATATGCAGTTGCAGAGAAAGAGAGAGAGAAAGAGAGAGTTGCGCAGTTGCAAAGAGAGAGAAAGTTGCAAAACAAGAATTACAAACCTTGATTAGTTGATTTTAGAAAAAAATTTAAATTAAAACCCATACATACAAGTTAGCAGTTGCAGAGTGTATATACATCTATACAAACACAAACATATATATATATATATATATCGTTATTTTGATGTGTGTGTCTATGAATGATCTCATCGATGAGCTCAAGTCAGCTTCAGCGGAAATTTTAGATGTATCTATCAACATTCAATAGAAAAAAAAAAAAATTACAAGAAAAACCTTGAAATCAGATGAAACCCATACATATAAGTTAGCAGTTGCAGAGAGAGGGGGGCAAGCTTGAAATATATGGGTTTTGATTTTTGGAACAAATTAAAATGATATGCCGATATGCAGTTGGAGAGAGAGAGGATCAGAGATAGAGGCGATGAGAGGCTGAAATGATTTTGTCCTACTAACCTTATCAAAAAGGGTAAGATGGTAATTCATTATTATCTTTTTTTTTCTTTTCTCTCCTTTGTGTTACTTAAACAACAATATTATCAATTCATTTTTTTTCTTTCATATGTATTCTAATATAAATATAAATTATAATTATCATTTCATTTTTTTTTTTTTATTTTTTTTTTTTTTTATAATCATTTCCTTTCTTTTCTCCGTGTATCCAAATGAAGCCTGAGAGAGGTCGTTGTGGCTGAAATTGCCCATAACTGTGGCTGATTCGAAGGTCCAGCAATGGCAGCAACGGCAGGAGGAATCATGAAAAATTCTTTGTCAGGGATGGCGTTCGGCAGAAGAACCCTCCCGCCACTGCCAACGGCCCACACCGGCACGAGACCTTGCTGCGTCACCGGCGCGACCGACGCGAAATTGGAAGAGACCGAATCATTTACGCCGTAGAAATCGCTGTTACACGCTTGCTTTCTCTTCTTCCTCGAGCTGTCTCCTTCCGATGTGGTCGTCGGTGTGGATGATGGCGTTGATGGTGGTGGGAGAAGGAGTGGAAAGGCGGAGGCTGAGACTGAGATTCGGGTTTCTGCATTTAGCGAGAGAGAGAGGAAAAAACCGGTTTAACTCGCAAAAATGGGCATGACCCATTTTCATAATTATTTTAGTATTGAACACGTGACGCAATAATATGTTGCCAAGTACGCCGGGAGGATGAACGCAGGATAGAAGTATTCTCCTAGATGTCACTGCTTACGCATGCTACAGTTAACTTCTAAATGGTATTAGATCTGCAGCATATTTTGTTTAGACTTAAACAAACCTTAAAACAAGTGCAGCTTCACTTCACATGGCCCATCCTTGGTTCATGTGATATTTGCCTTAATCAAGGCATGGTAATTTCAATGGCTATTTAGCCAAACGTCTGTATTACTATTCACGAGGTTGTCCGGACTATTTCTTATTTAATTATTTTAATAGGCAAATTCGGATATATAGCAAGAAGACAGGTCGTACTCGATCTTTATGTTTTTTCATGATATATTTGATTAATTTTAATTAAGCTATATATCCGAATTTGCCTCATACCAATAAATCCCCATTTAAGTATATTAAAATAATTAAATAAGAAATAATCCAGCTGTTACAAACTCTTCTCTTCAATAATTTGCAATTAATTAGATTCTAGTGGGAAATATAAATGGTATATATTCAGGATTTAAGTGAGACTGAGAACCACGATCAGTGCCAAAGAGGAGACCATAAGCAAAGCCAAGTCAAACTGAAGCATAAGGTTGGCAGCAGAACAGCATAAAGAAATCCTTTCCGGTAAAGAGAGGCAAGATCCAGGTAATATTTCAACTAATTGGTACCAAATTAGATATATATTAAGAGTACAGTCCTTGCCATCGTCCATCCTTCACTAGCTATTAGATTAACTCCTGTCCTATTGCTCCAATAGAGACAACTCAATCATCTAATATCCTTCCCCCAGCAATGCAATGGGTTCATCAGAAATCCATGGCCTATAGTCCACTGACTTCATCGTCTTTGGTCCTCCCTATTTGTACCTTGCCACTGTTTCGTCCTTCCGTTAGTTTGCAAGATTAATAGAATATCACCCATTTAAGATAGCTCTACAATGGCCAATTTTCATCACCAGCAAAATCTTTGTGGCTTTTTTCATACACTGATCCAATTGTTCGGCTTCCTTTCTTCTTTGGGCCAAGACTGCAATTCAACAGTATTTAATTTTAAGTTAGACTAACAAGTGTGTCCATCATATAAGGCCGAGCAAAACATACCCCAGTATTTTTTTTTTTTTAACTCCTCTCAATTCAAGTCAATCTAGACCTCTAGCTTGGCTTGTGGAATCTTCCATTTCATTATTTTTATTCTTATTCTTATTCTTATTATTTTGAAGCTTAAAGAAAGTGGAATTTTCCGTTATTCGGTTTGTGCCCCTTCTCATGATTTTTAGATCATCACCTCACTTCCAACACCTATTTTTATAGTAACTCTTACCTGGGCTGCTTCAATTGTGTCTTACCTGTCGCTGCTCCTGGTACGTTTGCCTTCTTGTTGGAGTGCGGCTCCCAAATTTTTATTTTTTTTGGGTCCAATTTGAGATTGGTTTCAATTTCCTTGTGTTTTCTGGCTTCTTGGTTAGCCATTTGGCTTGCTTTGTTCCCCTTATGTCTCTCGTATATGTCTTGAGTAATAATATTGTACATATAAATTCCACTTGAAAGATATTGTACATAGTGTTTTAGGTTTAACACCCACTTTCGTTTAAATATCATATTTCTTTGTGTTTTGATTGGCTTTTTTTAGTTTCAGTTGTTTGCTGTACTTGTCCTGTCTTCATGCACACAATATTTTGTTCATAAACCGATTTTAGGTTGTAGTCTGTGGCACTTTTCAAGTTTCAAAGTAAAATATTGAGTGTTTGAGTCCCTATAAAATTAGTGGGTGCTAAATAAACCTGTCAATGGATTGAAGATAGAAATGGAACAAAAATTTCAATAACCATTCGAATCCGATAAGCCATTGGCCTAACAAATCCAATATAGATTATGTATATATATAATAATATTTTATATTAATATTTTATATTATATCAATACTCCATTCAGATTTGTATTAGAGTTAACAAAATAATAATAATAATAATCATAATCTTATACGTATAATAGTGTGGTGTTCTCATCCATACACTAATAATAAATCTCCTGATATACATACTAATTATGTTATAATAAGTATTCATTAACAAAAATTAAATGATCTTTTTTTTCTTTTCTTTTCCTTCCATATTTTATTTATTTTTTATTTTCTATCATTGTTTTTTAATTTTTTTGACATTAATTTCTTTTCTTTTTATAAAAAAGAACACCTTTATAGAATGTGATATACATTTATTAACAAATCGAATATGAATTTACTTACCAAAAAAAAAAAAAAACATCTCCAATTATCGGATCGGATCGAGTACCGTTGACAGGTCTAGGTGCCAGGGTTATTTAGAAAGATAAAAAAAAAAAAAAAAAAAAAGAAAAAGTAAGTTTATAATTCAGAAAATTATAATTACACGAGCAGTATGAAAAAAATATATATATTAAAAAATAAATAAAAAATTAAAAAAAAGTGTGTTGTTTCTATGTCCCTACATTTACTTCCCATTTTTATTTCTAATAACTTTGCAGGATGTCCGAGGAAGAGGAAGTTAAATATGATGGAATCAAGGAAGAGGAAGAGGAAGAGGAAGTTAAATATGGAATCAGCTTTCAAGAATATAAAAATAAAATACGAATCGGAGATACTGGAACTGATGAATTTTGGACAAAAACAATTGAAAAAACGCTTCTTGTTTTAAAAAAAAGGTCATTGAACTTCAGTATCTATAGGGTTCCAAGCAAACTACGAAACATCAACGAAGATGCCTATAGCCCACGTATGGTTTCAATTGGACCTTTTCATCAAAGCCGAAAAGATCTGCTGAAAATGGAAGAGCACAAGTGGCGTTACATGCTTTTCCTTCTTGCTCGAACAAAAGATCGTGCAAAACTAAAAGAGGCACTGAAAGAGTGTGTCAAAGCTATTAATGGTTTGAAGCAAGAAGTAACTGGATGCTATGCAGAAGACCTCAACAACGTGACCTGGAATGAGCTGAGGGAAATTGTGCTGGTCGATGGCTGCTTCATAGTCGAACTTATTATCAGGTACTCCGAGAAAAATATTGGACAAAACCCAGATGAAGTAATCAATGGTGTTTGGATGATTCCAACCCTAAAACATGATTTGGCACTACTCGAGAACCAAATTCCCTTTTTTGTTCTCCAAAAGTTGTTTAAAATTATAGAGAGATCCATTGGCGAAGACTTCCGGTTCCCCTGTTCTCTCACTGAATATGCTCTACTTTTCTTCTTCCCCGAGTCGAATTCAAAGCAGGTCCAGGCTTTGAATTCAAAGAAAGTAAAAAAAGTTCTAAAGAGTGGCAGCCTAAATAGAGCCAGGCATTTACTCGAAATCTTGCACATTTTTTACCTCCCATCATCTCTAGATATCAATCCTAGAGTCCATCATACTTGGGGATTTAAGCATGGTGCAGCAAAACTCTTAGAGGCTGGAATTGGGATTGAGAAGGTCGCCACGAGTGATTTACTGGAGATAACATTCAGTGGCAGTGAAGGAGTGATTAAATTGCCACCGTTAAGCATCGATGAAACAATGGAAACAGTGTTTAGGAACCTCATTGCTTTTGAGCAATGCAGCGTCGGCGTTACACATCACATTACATCATACGCCATGCTCATAAAAAGTCTCATAGCTTCCACACAAGACATGGAGTTACTTCAGAACAAGCAAATAATTGAAAAATCTGCCAGCAGTGGTGAAGATGTTCCGACATTCTTCAAAAGGATGAGCAGGGAAGTGGTTCTCAAAGAGTTCTGCTTTGCTGAGTTATGCGATGATGTGGATAAATACAGTCGATCCTGGTTGCATTGTCGCAGAATCAAAGCATACTCAGGCGTCAGATGCCGCAGATACATTACCGCATTAAGAAATGATTATTTCTCCAATCCATGGACAATCATATCATTCGTTGCTGCCGTTGTGCTTCTAGTTCTCACTCTCTTGCAGACCATGTATGCCATGCTTTCTTATTACTAGAATCAACGTTAATCTTGTTTTTTGTGTTTTTAGTTCTCTCTCCAATAAAATGCATTATGAATCTTTGCTTGGGAAAAGAAATGTATTATGCATCTTTAATTTATTCAATTGTCTGCCTTTGTAATTATTTTGTTTGCTCTGTAATGTTCTTGATTAAATTTTGGTCGGAGCTACTGTTTCCACTGGGCCTAAGGTGGCTCCATCACTGATGGGGTGAGCACAATAATGAGGTCTTAGTAAGTCGCATAATCTTCTCAGGGAGTGTCACTCTCACATTTTGTACTTTAGTCTTATTTTTATTCTGTGTGATTTAAATTTTATCATTTATCAACCGATCAGTGACCTAATGGTATAAGCCTCTTACTTTCTAAAGAAAGGTCAGGAGTTCAAATCTCAAGAGAGACACATGTGTGAGTACCCTCTCTTTTTCTTACTTTGTGTGACTTACAAGTTGTAAAACTAACTCACTCAATATCATTTCGTGAGTTAGGGTCTAATAAATTGATGAACTTTACCTTATTATTGTCTTATTAAATTTATATTTTGTTTGTTGTAAGGTTGTTTTCAACTGATGCAAAAATCATGCGCTCTTGTTATACATGCTGACATTTAGAGTTGCATTTTAATTATATTAATTTCAGACGTTAAAGAATTCACACTAGCAGGCATAGAATTTGAGGTCGCCCGTCATACTGGTTGCGCAAGCTAATGGTGCATTGACTTCATCCACATTAGTTAATTTGAGGTCATCATCACATGTGATTAGGTCTGTCAAAGGATCTCGATTGGTTAAATTAGTATCTGATTTGTTAAGTTGACATATAATTAAATTCAAATTGTCAACGGATTATCAGATTGACTGTTCAATTCATTGTTAACACGTTATCCGATTGAATATTCAATTCATATCATATTTAACTTGGATTCCAGACGAATTCGGACTCCGATTATTTTTATTTTTTTGACAAATATTAAAATGACATTTATAACTATATGGTTAGATAGAGTAGATAATTGTTAATATATAGGATGTTGCATAATATAACTATGCGATCAAATGAATATAGTAATAAATAATTATATACATATAAATTGAGGGAGGCGGTACTCCACTTTTCAATATTTGCACTTTTCAACATTTGTACTATAATTTTAAATGAAATAGTAATTTTAACCCTAACTTTACAAGTAAATAATTATATTTTTAAAATGATACAACGGTCATTTTAAATTTATTCTCTTTATCTCTAATCTTTAATGAATCATAAATTTTTTAAGGAGTGTCGAACTTACTTTTATTTCGGCCATGAGGGAACTTGTGTACTACTTTTCGTGCTCAGAATATACTTATTTAATTTACAAGAGATCTCGTAATTATGTATGTCGGCAAATAGATATGTATTTTTTATTTATTCATTACTCCGTATTATACAGAATAAAACACTAGATTTTTATTTTTATTTTTTTTATTTTTTATTTTTAAATCTGATCTTCTTATTACATAATTATTTATTACTATATTCAACATTTGCACTTTTTAACATTTGTATTATAATTTTAAATGAAATGATAATTCTAACTTTAACTTTACAAGGAAATAATTATATTTTTAAAATGATACAAGTGTTATTTTAAATTTACTCTCTCTATTTTTAATCTTTAATGAATCATAAATTTTTTAAGGTGTGTGGAACTTACTTTTATTTCAGCCATGAGGGAACTTGTGTACTACTTTTCGTGCTCAGAATATACTTACTTAATTTAAGAGAGATCTCGTAATTATGTACTGTCAGCAAATAGATATATATTTTTTATTTATTCATTACTCCGTATTATACAGAATAAAACACTAGATTTTTTTTTTTTTTTTTTTTTTAATTTTAAAATCTGATCTTCTTATTACAAGGGTGGGAAATCTTAACAAAGTCCACCCATTGGACAAGATTGACCAAGAAAATAGCTTTCAATAGATGGAACTGGATCAATTGCTTAAGATAAGGACAAACAAAAGAAATGTATTATGAATCAATTGCTTACTAGAATCAACGTTAATCTTGTTTTTGTGTTTTTAGTTCTCTCTCCAATAAAATGCATTATGAATCTTTGCTTGGGAAAAGAAATGTATTATGCATCTTTAATTTATTCAATTGTCTGCCTTTGTAATTATTTTGTTTGCTCTGTAATGTTCTTGATTAAATTTTGGTCGGAGCTACTGTTTCCACTGGGCCTAAGGTGGCTCCATCACTGATGGGGTGAGCACAATAATGAGGTCTTAGTAAGTCACATAATCTTCTTAGTGAGTGTCACTCTCGCGTTTTGCACTTTCGCTCTTATTTTTATTCTATATGACTTAAATTGGATCATTTATTAACGGACCAGTAGTTTAATAGTATCAGTCTCTTACTTCTTAAAGAAAGGTCAGGGATTCAAATCTCAGAAGAGACATATGTGTAAGTACTACCAATAAAAATAAAAATAAAAAATAAAAAATTATTATTTTTGTACTTTAACTCTCAGATTTGTTCTCTTTCTCTCTTTCATGTTATGTGTGACTTACAAGTCGTAAACCTAACTCACTCAATATCATTTCGTGAGTTAGGGTCTAATAAATTGATGAACTTCACCCTATTATTGTCTTATTAAATTTATATTTTGTTTGTTGTAAGGTTGTTTTCAACCGATGCAAAACTCATTCGCTCTTGTTATAAATACTGACATTTAGAGTTGCATTTTAATTATATTAATTTCAAACGTTAAAGAATTCACACTAGCAGGCGTAGAATTTGAGGTCGCCCGTCATACTGGTTACGCAAGCTAATGGTGCATTGACTTCATCTGCATTAGTTAATTTGAGGTCATCATCACGTGATTAGGTCTGTCAAAGGATCTCGGATTGGTTAAATTCATATCTGATTTATTCAGTTAATATATAATTAAATTCGAATTGTCAGCGGATTATCAGATTGAATGTTCAATTCATTGCTAACACATTCTCTGATTGAATATTCAATTCATATCATATTTAACTTGGATTCCGATCAAAACAAATTCGGACTCCGATTATTTTCCCTTATTTTGGGAAAATTATATTTTGGTGACCAAAACTTAACATAATTGGTGTAAAGTATAAAGTCAAGAAAAGGTGAATAGTCACCATACTTAAAATTTAATTACTAATAAGTGACCATTTGAGGATTTATTATCTGAATAACCTTCTTATAATATATTATTATGTAAGTGGACAAACTTACCCTTGTACATTAAGCTAAATAAACACTTACTTAAATTGACTAACAAATAAACCACATCTTGTAGCCGTGACCTATCATTCTGAAAAAAGATGATATATTAAAGTAACAAAATAAGAAGGACCCGCCTCTATAAATATTATATAAAGAGCATTTTGGGATGAAACTATTTTTCTTGATTTGTCACTGTAAATATTATGTTTTGCGATTATCGTGGAGAGCCTTGGAAAAGAGAGAAAAAGGGTGCAGAAAGAGAATGTTCATAAAGAAACCCTAATTTTTTAAATTGGTAAATTGGAAACTAAAAAGGAAAAAAGAAAACGTTGGATGAGAGAGAGAATAGGAGATGAATTCAATGAGCTATTATTTGTATTAGATGGCAATATTGTCATTTAAAATTTATTTTAAAATGTTTTTGACCAAATTATCCTTAAATGGTCACTTAATATCAATTAAGTTTCAACATTGGTCACTACACATCTTTTTTTGACTTTAAGGTCACTATAAAGCAATTATGTTTAATTTTGGTCACAAAAATATAATTTTCCCTTATTTTTTTGACAAAGATTAAAATGACATTTATAGCTATATGGTTAGATAAAGTAGATAATTGCTAATATATAGGATGTTGCATAATATAACTATACGATTAAATGAATATAGTAATAAATAATTATTTACATATGAATTTAGGGAGGCGGTACTCCACTTTTCCACATTTGCACTACAATCTTAAATGAAATGGTAATTCTAACCATTTCAGTAATGTTTAAATTATATATATATATATATATGTATATATATATATATATATTAAAGGATGGTGGAGGGACCCACAGTCTTTTTTAAAGTAGTTATAAGACCACTTTTTTTTTTTTTTTTTTCTTTCTCATTCTCTGCTATCTCACTCTCTCCCCGCTGCCTGTCTTCCTCTCTGTATTTCTTTTTTTCTTTTTCTTTTGTAACTTCCACTCTTAATTTCTTCCTCAATCCTTGGTAGAATTGAAAGCCGTTTGAGGCAAAACAAAGCCCACGACGAGCTCTACGCACTAATGTAAGCAATTTCAGATTTGGTGCTTCCTAGGGAGTTCGAAATTAGAGACCTATTTCAAGGGTTTTGTACAATCTTGAGGTAGGGGCTCTTAATCTACAATTTTCTTACTCCTATGTGAATTATATCTTCTAAATTGTTGCAGGACATGCTTATTTGTGCTAGTTGTAGTTTAGAAGTAGTTAGAACATGTGTATGTAGCTATGTGAGAGCTTGTATTAAATGTTTTATGTGGAAAACTTACCTATGTGATGATTTATATATGTTCGTTAGGCTAGATGTATTGTTGTATAAGAGCATATTGAAATTCCTTAAGAAATTCTTGTGAAATTATGCCTTACTTACTTAAATTGAGTTAGTTGTAGAATGATGAGTATATTCACGGTACTGATGCACTCATGCACTTACATTGGGCATGAAATGGGAGAAATTATTTTGGAACAAAAAGGAAAATTTTGGGAAAAGAGTTTTTACGAAATGGTTTTATGAAATTCCGGTCGCCGTAGGGGTACCAAAGGGCCAGAGTGTTAATATAGCTTAGAGGGGACTAAGGAGTTGTCCTAGCGTGGTTGAGCTATCTGGGCCCCTCGATGACGCTGTGGGGTTACCAAAGGTCTAGGGACAGTAGCCAATCCTCCTCTCGTGCCGCTGTGGGGTCACCAAAGGGCGGGTTGTATTAACAGTTTGAAAGTGATGGTTTGAAATGTGAAAATGGGGAGCGACATCAGCATGCATTTGCATTCCATGGCATTGTATTGTTTGCACTTGAGTTTGGTTGAAATGTTGTATTATCCCGACA